AACTTTGTAAGGCTGCTCCTACACAACAAAAAGGGAAATATTGTACTTTTTACTTCTTACTTTTCAGATTCAAATTATTGATACAAAATCAACAAATAAGTTATGATGTGTTATAATAGAAAAAGTTACCCAGCAGTATATCATTTATGGTGCAATATGAACCTTATTAAAAGTTTATTGAAGTTTGAGGAAAACTGGTTTGTTAACAGATGTTTGTGCCTATATCTGTTATATGCATTACATCTTTAGCTGCACAATTAAGAGCTGGTATTCAGGAGGAAAACTGGATGTCTGAGCTGTGGAGAGTGAGTTTTCGTTTCCAACAAAATCCTGAAATATTCTAGTGTTCAGTTGAGCATCAAGTGGAACTCCTGTTTGATTTTGATGTGTTGAAGTTTGGATGATTTCACTCGTATTTATTTATAATTTCTCTGCTTAATATATGTTTTTGTCAGTGATTTGTGAATTCAGTGATGATCTTTAAGTTGATGGTGTCCTCTAAGCCCATGCAGGCTGGCCATAGTTGTATACCTGACACAAAAATAAAAATGTAATTAATTAAATCATATAAAGTAGCTGAAATTAGCTCTGCGTTTACCAGCTGGAACATTAGAGTGATGTTCACATGAGTGGATCAATAATCATAATGCACTTATATAATATACTGTATATTATTCCAACATAATTTGGACTTATACACTTGGTACTTAAGTAAATTTATGAATGCAGGACTTTTGCTTTTCTTTACTGTGGTGATCGGAGTACTTCCTCCACCACTGACTTCATGTGTGCACACACAAACTGAAGCAGTGTCAACAAACTCTTCAGCACAGATCATGACTCGTTTGTTGTTTCCTGCTCTGAATGAGTCCCAGGTGATGCTGCTGCTGCTGCATCACCAGGTGTGGGGGTTACCATGGTGAACCTTTGTCACCAAGGCAACAGAGTCTGAACTGCTCAGGATGTCTGACACCACGAGGGGCAGGTTTGTCTCGTTTTGCAGGCGAGCTGATTGTTCACGTCTGCTTCCTGTGTTTGTCGATAACGAGGGGTGAGCGAGGTCGCGGCGAGGTCATTGCCGTCGTTAACTCGGCCTCCAGCTGCACTTTCCAGCAAGATAAATCTGTGTCTGCTCTGCTGAGTCATAAACAGAGCAGAGATACCGTGGCCTGGATACAGCAAATCGCCTTCTGCTTCATTTGGACGTATTTTAATAGTATTTCAAGAAGCTGAAAATCAAAGCAGATACACATAAAGGAAATAAAAGCAATTTCTCTTAACTTTATATTTTAGGTATGAGTTTCAGTTTTGATTTTGTACTTTTACTCAAGTAATGTAGTTAACATATGACAGCTGCAGTTCTTATGAAGATCTTATAAAATATGATGCTTTGTTAAAGATTAAAATACCTAACAGTACATATAAGTAGAGCTGAAACATTAGGTCGATTGATTAATTAGTTGATTGACAAAAAATTAACTGGTAATGTCATTTCATTCCAGCTTTTTTGCTGCTTTTTCCTTGTAATGACTTAAAGGAGCTATTTGTAAGTTTTGCTATTGCTTCATAGCTAATGTTAGCATTAGCAGCTGTTTACTCACCAGTCTAGAAGAAAAAATAGCAAGTTCATTATCAAACTTCATTCCTTAGCTCACCAAGAGCTGTCTCCAGCTGTGGAAAGCAACAATAATGTTAACTTTAATCTTTCCATCTACTGAAGTTAGCATGCTAGCTAGCTAGTCACTTTCCGATGGTGCTTGGAGGACGTATGATAACCTCTTGTATTACAAAGAAAGTGGTCTCCACTGGCAGATAAAACTTACAAATAGCCCTTTTAATTTATTATAATTATGATAATTATTTATTAGAATTTATTATTTATTTTAAATCATTTTGAGGTTTGTTCCGTTGGTTGGACACTTCTGCATTGAGTACTTTTAATATTCTAAGTAGTATTTCCAGATTATACTTAAATACTTTTTACTTAAGTATCTTTTTCCTTAATAATTTAACTCCTTCCTTAATATTTAACAGTAACAGTATCTAACATTTTCAATGCAGAACTTGTACTTGTAATGGAGTACTTTAACATTGTTGTATTAGCACTTCTACTCTTGTAAGGATCTGAAAACTTCCTCCTCCACTGTGTTAAATCAGAAAATGCAGACAATCTTTTTGACCCTGCAGAGAAAGAAAACTTCAGACAGTTAAGATGTCAGCTCAACAAATGTGTGTGTGTGTATATATACATATGTATATATGTATATTTATGTGCGGTTTAGTGTACTCTGAGTATATTTGCACTGTAACTACCCTTCGGGGCCCCTCACAGAGACCACACACCTCGGAGCTAACAACAGATGGTTGATGCCACGTCGGTGCTGACAGAAGACACTTACACTGAACATCCATCTCAACAGGACAGACTTCAAAACTTAAGTAGTTTCAAATAAGAAAAAAACGTCCTTCTTATCTCCGGAGCAATCTAGACATTAGTGTCAGCATGAAGATTGTTTTAGTGTTTTGTTTTTTTAGCCAAAAGAAAACTATATGTCTTTCATTGTCATTTATTTAAAACAAACAGAGCTACAACAGTTACTCTATTAATCTATAAGTTGATAGAAAAATAATCAGCTACTATTCACATTACTGGCTTATTGTTTAAGTAACTATATGAGAATAAACTGAACATAAAAAGCTCCCAAGGTGTAAAAAGTTTATGTGGCTTAAAACTAGATATCTTGGGGATATGATGTCATTATCAGGCAACCAAATGACCGTATTGTTACCGTGATTGAAATCACAGAATTTCTGTGGTTTGAAAGACATTTTAATGTGGAAAAGTTGCACATTATAACTTTAACCTGTATGGTGACCATGAAATAATATGTTGGTCAGCTGGTTCTGTCTCAGTCGTAACCAGATGTTTGCTGTGATGCAGTTTTGTTGTTTGCAGAACTTAAAATAGAGCAAAGAAGAAGAGATTTAGCTGTTTATGTTTTGTTCACTGTGGAGGTGGAGGTCATTTACCAAACAGACAAGTCGACCTTTCAGTAAAACTGTCCGATCTGTTTATGTTGCACATCGTGTCCGGTTTGTCGGTGTCACACTGAGCTTAGTGCTCGGCGACATGATGATGTGTTTACGCCAATCCGTGCACATCCCCTGAGTTGGCTACAGTTCATGCAATAATAACAAACTCTGGATTCTTTCAGTCAGTCGTCTTAGTTTGTAGAAAACTGCTCTTGACTGAGACGTCAGGGCAAATTCCTGGGTTTGTGGGGTGGAGACGAGAGGCAGATCCAGTGGGTTTGTTTTAAAAAGGGGGAGGGAGGGAGGCAAGAGGGGGGTGGGTGGGTTGGGGCGGGGGGGGGGTGAGGGATGTTTGTTGGCGTGCCACAGAGTCATTACTGTAGGGAAAGGAAAGGAGGTATTGCTTAGCTGACTGAATGCCAGCGATCACAGATTAGATTACACCAGATTTTGCTCAAGCTTAAAAAAATCACTTCTTTTTAACACAAAGGGAAAATTCTGCTCCGTCCAGTTCAATCAAAATAAAACTGAGATTTTCTGCACAGCTCCAGTTTTCAGTGTCCCTGCAGATACAGTATTCGTGCTCCATTTGCATCTGATTCTGAATCTGAATATGTTTCTACATTCACACTGTGCAGATGTTTGTGCATAAAAAGCACATGCTCTCATGTTCTGTGTGTGATTTCCTGCTCATGGAGGTAAAAGCCGCCTGCATTTGGCCTGCAGGACGTCAGTCACACTGATTCGTCTGTTCCACAAATAAACCAGTGAAACATTAGCAGGGATGCAGCAAGGACACATGCATGTGTCGGATACCCAACAGCGCTTTTGTTCACTTTGAATAGAATCGTTTCTTTTTTCCCAGAGCCATAGCATGCAATGACGAGTTTTTTAAAATTACAGTAAATTTAAAGTAAATTTTGGAGGGTTAAGAAGACAAACCAAAGAGAAGGTGACACTTTTTAGGTTGGAGATTAGTTTAACTCCCATGTGTCCAGTAGTCACTCTGATTTTGGTCTCCACCAGCTCCTGAGGGAAATATCTGGCTCTTAAGCTGCTAAATGCTCCACTGTGTTCATCAGCTGCTCTCTCACTGCTGTTTGATGCTGAGCAGGTCGTGGACAGTGGCTTTTTAGAGCTGTTTCTCTGAAAACAGCTGCCTGCTGCAGCCAAAAATGACACTATGAGATTGAACCAAAACTGTAAAGTTGCTGTAAAACCAAAGCAATGAGCTGAAAGAGCCTCAAAATCCACAAACCATGAAAAAAAAAACTAGATTTCATGTAAATATCAGCTGGTTTTACAAGTTCCCGACTGAAAGCCACATGACTTGAGAGCTGAATTCAGATTTGGATAATATCTGAACCTCAGTGAAAAACATGGCTGTAAATTAAAAGGTTGGTTCACAAATTCAAACAAAAAATCTTCAGGGACAGTTTTGATTTAATTCACTCGTGGTGAATAGAGGTGAATGGAATTCAGTTTGAGGCTGTGAGTCTGTTTCACATTTTCATTTGGTACTGTTTAATAAAAACTAGAATAAATACTTGTAAAGCTAAGTGGAAAAAAACAAGGACTGCAGCTAACCAAAGCTTTGATTATTGATTAATCCACTGTTTTCTTTTTGTTGATTCATTAATGCAAAATGAGTGAAATCGTCAGTTTCCCACAGCTCAAGTTGACTCATTCCTAAGTCTTATTTTGTCAGATCCCGGTTGGTAAATCAAATAAGAAAAAAGTTGATTTTGAAATCAATATTCTCTGGACAGACTGATTCATTGACTAATTGTTTCATATCTAAAGAAAACATGTTGTTAATTATTTTGGTGAACTGACCCTTAAACTGTGTTCCCTCCATCGCTGAGCCTCTGGACATTGAAAATTAGTCTGTGCAAAAACTCAGTGTTGTGTGAACGAGTTATTTTTTGACTGAATTGTTTGTTTGTTGTTGTTGTTGTTTACTGCAGCGGCGCTCCAAAAAAATGCGAGGTCAGCTCCTGTTGTCTCTGCAAACAGCAGAAATGGACAGACCGTGTCCCTGGATGGAGTCAGTTTCTCAGAGGGAGAACTTCTGCTGCAGGTGCGGTAACAAAACACACAGTAGACATTGTGTGCAGCTGTGTTTGTAGGGGTCATGTGCATGTGTGCCCATTGTTTCTGCAGGCTCTGCACGGGTTTGTGTTGGTTGTGACGACCGACGGCACGATCTTCTACACGTCCCCAACCATCCAGGACTTCCTGGGCTTCCATCAGGTGAAACTCTGACTCTGAACGCAGTGTAAATACATTTCTGCGCACTGTGTTTGAAATTTTTTTTTAATGAACTCCTCCCTCTGCCGCCAGTCGGATGTCGTCCACCAGAGCCTGTTTGATCTCGTTCACATGGACGACAGAGAGATGTTCAAATGTCAGCTCCACTTCGCGCTCAACCCCAGTGAGACCGGCACACACGTCAGAGCAAAGGGTAAAGACTTTACTCATCAGTGGTTCAAATCTTAAAACTGATCAATCTCTACTGCAATCACTCATCTCTGGCTGCATATGTCCACTAGAATTTTTTGTTTGTTTCCTTGTTTTATCTGAATCATTTTTGAAGACCAGATAAAATTAATCAGTAATTCACAGAATAAAAAAACATAAGATGCACATTAATCTACAAAACCAGTAAAATGGTGGCATCCTGAAAACCATCTAGATTGATTGTCACAGCAGAGGGCACTGCCTCCTTAAACTGCCTCTGCTCTTATCAATTGATAACATCAAAGAAAATTCATGCAATGATGCAAAATATTCCCCTCTCCCAGTTTGTCAGTTGAGAGGATTTGCTTTGTCTTATGTGACAGTAAACTGAATATCTCTGGGTTTTGAAACGAGTTTGAATTTGATAACATGAACTTATAGACGATTCACGGAGGACATCACATCAGCCCAGTCCTTGCTTCTCTTCGTTGGCTTCCTGTCCATTTCAGAATTGATTTTAAGATTTCACTGATCACTTTTAAAGCTCCAACTTTGAACGACGTGCCGCAGGAGATGAAACAGAATCAGTGACTTCACTTCTTAAAACCTGTTTTTAATGGACTTGCTTTTATATGATGTCATCTTTTTATCATCCTTTTATTGTTTTTAATTGGTTTTTTTTACTGTCTCTACTCTCCCCAATTGTTTTTGTTTATACAGAAGTATATTGTACTTTATGTCTTTTCTCTCTAACTTTAACCCATTTCTGTCCTGCTTTAGTTTGGCCTTACTGTGCAGCTCTCTGTTGTTATAACTCTGTTTTTAAAAGTGTTACATAAATAAAGTTATCGTAATTATTATTATTATTATTATAAATCAGAGAGATTAATTAAACTAAATTAACTAAAAACTGCTTGTTAGTTGTGATCTCTAATTAGACATTTTTATGAGTGTCTGTGTACAAATGAACTTGTATCAGAGTGTCATTGGTGATGAAGGTAGAAGGACAGACATGGGGAGACACAGCACAGACACGTTCCAGTTTAAAATGAATACTGTCTCTCTGCAGATGGGCAGTCTGGCAGTAAATCTCTGGGCAGCTCTCAGAGCCTCTTGCCTCAGTACATCCCTCCAGAGAACTCCTCTTTCCTGGAAAGAAGCTTCTGTTGTCGCCTTCGCTGCCTCCTGGACAACACCTCTGGATTCCTGGTAACGTCATCCGTGCATCCGTTGAATAAGAGTCTACAGCGTTTTGTAGCAGCTCTGAGAGACTGGCACAGTATTTATTACTTTTAGTAATGGTAATATAACAAAAAATATAAGTGAGTGAGAGGAGAAGTGGAGCAAAGATGTTTTGTTTTTTTTAATCTACAGTTTTGACATTTTATTTCATCAGAAAAAAATTTCTTTTGGCTGAACACATAGTTTGAATCTCCCTCCCTCTGAAAGGTGCACTTGATTTCATTCACTCCTGCAGCAAAGTGGACAAAACTTCAGTAATCATGTCATTTAAAAAAACAAATTAAAGTCAGTTGAAACAGTGGCCACAAAAAGTCATTTTAAACAGTGATTTGCAGCAGTTTACTCTGAGCAACAATAAAATCAAGCAGTTTGTTTTTATTTATTGTTTGTGTTCACTTGTCTATTCACTTATTTGTACTGGTGTGATGATGGATGTATTAAAAGGGGAAGGTGCCCACTGAGGCTGCATATGTACTGGACCCATATTAATACAGGCAGCCTGTATTTAGCCTGAGAGACAAAAGCCAGGATAAAAACAAACAGAGGCGAAGGACACACAGCACCACGCTGATGCTGTTGATCTTATTGTTGCGCAGTAATAACTGAGGATGACTCACATGAATGTATCAACATGTTTATCAGCTCGGATCTCCACTCGCCTGGATTTTGGCAGAGAAGTCAAATAGTTGCCATCTCCTGTGGAAATCACTCCCTGGCTCAAAACCACAAACGTCAGGCTCATTGAGAAGCAAACTCACGAGGATAGTTCCTCTGGGAACCATGAACGTAACATCGCTATCATGGATAAGACTCCCATTGATATGTATTTGATATGTTTATAACAACATGCATTAATGTAACAGTGTCTCCTCCTCTCCAGGCTCTGAACTTCAATGGGCGTCTGAAGTACCTGCATTTACAGGGAAACGCCGGGGCTGATGGGACCTTGGCTCCTCCTCCTCAGCTTGCTCTGTTCGCCATCGCCACGCCTGTGCAGACTCCTTCAGTCATGGAGATCCGCACCAAGACCCTCATCTTCCAGACCAAACACAGAATGGACTTTGCTCCTTTGGGCATAGACACCAGGTAGGACTTTTTTTTTTTAGATGAAGAGACAAATATTAAAGGCAACTTCCAACATGTTGATTTCATTATTTATAACCAACAAGTGTCAAATGCCTCCTATTCAAAAAGTGAAATTATCCCAATGTAGTCCAACTTTTCTACCTGTAACAGTCTGTCCATTGTGTCCTTTGTGTATTTCTTTTCAGAGGGAAGCTGGTTTTGGGTTATACAGAGGTGGAGCTGGTCACAACAGGGTCTGGTTATCAGTTCATCCACGCTGCTGACATGATGTACTGCGCCGACAACCACCTCAGGAGTGAGTTATTCTATAAGGGCTCTATTTTCTGTATTTTTTTGTTGTCAACCTTACATTATTGTCGGTCTTACTTGTATCCATCTGCTCTGTCCTCAGTGATTAAAACCGGAGACAGCGGTTTCACCATCTTCAGGCTGCTGACTAAAACAGGTCACTGGTTGTGGGTACAGGCCTCGGCCAGGATAGTCTTCAAGGGAGGGAGACCGGACTTCATCATCGCTCGTCAGAAAGCCCTCACGTAAGCATCGCTGTCTAACCTTCACATTTTAGTCCTGGTTGTTTTGCCAACACCTGGGATTACTGTGGCAACAGCAAATTCACTTCAACTGCAAACACTGCTCTGTCAGGAAACGACGAGCAAATGTTGTAAATGTTTACGGTGCAGCCAAACAAACTCGTCTGCCACAACAAAAATGTTTTCCTGTGAGTACTTCACAAAGTCAACCCATATTTTGCCAGTTGAACACTTTAAATATGAAGCAGTGGCAGAAGGAAATCTTGGGTTAGCATTAGCAGTAGCTTTGATGCAGCTATAGAACTGTAAACACACAGTAACCGGATTATAATTTCCTGTGAATTCCTGAAGCGAAGGCAGGTCATTTGAATCCTTCACAGGAATGACGGACTCTACCACTAACAATAAAAACTTGTTTATTTAAGAGTGACCAGATAAATATTGTTATGTACATATAAGTAGTGCAGCAGATACGGGACATCTAGCTGAAGCTAATTTGTACAACCTATCCCTGCTCAAATAAATAACTTAAATAAATAAAAAACAGAATCAGCATAAAGTCAGATAAAACTGACTGTGTACATGTATATGCATATGTCTGTGTGCATGTACATGACTAGTAAGAGTGATATTTAGTCCATAAAGAGTTTGGACAGTGGTGTATTTTGTGCAGTCTCTCCAAAGCTAACAGCTAAAGTGTAAGAAAGAGATTTAACAGTGTGTTTTGTATTAGTTTTTGGGGTGAAGAAGAAGACGTAGTCATGACTAGTACATCCACTGTGTAGTGGTATTTCCCCCCAGCGCGAAAGCCTTCCTGGATGCTATCTGAGTTTAAGCTAACGTTAGCCGCTCTGTCCTGCTCTTGGGGATGTTTACACTGGATCAACTGGTGGGGAAGCTATTTTTTTTGTAGCTTTGGCTTTAGTCTTTTAGCACAATATGTAGCCATCATTTAAGATACAGACAGACAGCTGGAAACATTAAGAAGTCAGGCAGACAGGCAGTGTTTTCAATCAATGCAGGGGCCTAAAGTTAGCTTAATTAGCTAATTAGTTAAATCAGATCAAATCAGGCTCTTGCTGAACAGTCTTGTTTTTAATATGCTGAAATGTTTCTTACAAGACTTTCAGACACTCTATTATTATTTTTGTAATCTAATATTAACCTTTGCTGCTGTTTTTCGACAGAAATGAAGAAGGAGAGGAACATTTGCGGCAGAGAAGACAGCAGCTCCCCTTCAACCTCGCCACCGGTGAAGGTGTCCTGTACGACGTCTCTCTGGATGTCTTCTCCTTTCCTGGTCCTCCTGTCCCCGACGCTGAGCCCACAACAGAGAAACCTCTGGACCCTGCCTCGCTCCTGGGATCCCTTCGCCGGCAGGACCACTCTGTTTACACCCAGCCAGAGAAGCCCAGTCCCCAGCTCCCAATCTTCTCCCAAACAGAGGACACTGTTTGTGAACAGCCCCAGCCGACCTTGGAACAAGCCTTCCTGGACAGCCACGCTCTGCTCAGTGTGCCGGGTCAGATCCAGACTTTACAGAAGGGCTCTATCACAGCGGACCTCACATCAGAAGCCATGATTGAGTCTTTGGAGCAGATTTTGGGAGCTATAGGGAATGGAGTGATAGAGGGTCTTGAGGTGGAGGAGACGGAGCTGAGGGACTGGGAAAACACTCTGGTCAGGATGAATAAAGAGAGGGAAGACACGGCGAGGGAACTGAATTGCACCCTGGCTAATGATGTGTTCTCATATGTGGAGGAGGCTCTGAGGAGAGAGACCAGTGGTTTTGTGGTTCAGGGCTCAGATCAGACTGGGTGTCGTGTTTCTGGGATGATTCAAGGTGAGCATCCTGGGTTTTCAAATAGTGAGCCACAGTGGCAGCCGATGAAATCAAACCGGAGTGGATTTGGAGAACAGGCTCAGTTGGGAAATATTCTTGGTGATGTTGGTAATTCGACCGGACTGAAAGGTGCCGCTGAAGTTGTTTCTCACAGGACGACGAGCACCCTAACACCCACGCAGTGTCGCAACACTCACCAGGGCAGCAGCAATCACCACTGTGGCAATGAGATTTCAACACAATCCTGCGTGACACATCAGTCTTGGCTTCCATCGACACACAACGCCGACAATATTCAGAGCAGCCATCAATCTGGCTTGGAGGTGATGGACCAGAGTGTGCAATATTCTCTAAACCACGCTGGTTCACAGCAGACTTGCGTGGGGCCACTGCCTCGGGGCCCTTCAGTGTGGCAACAGCAACAACTACAACAACAGCAGCAGCTGCCGCAAAGTTTTCACCATCACACACTTTCACATTCCTCACACACGCCAGTCAGCGTGAACTCGACAGCTCAGTCGTTCCACCCGCAAACACAGAGATTACCTGGCAGCTGCATTTATGAAAACAGAGAAGGTCACATACCGAACGCTGCTCTTGTTCCTGCCAGACGGAATAGGCCTCTCCTGGGGCCCACATGCTCCAGAGGGCCTGCACATGTTGCAGGGGCCACCACAAATGCCCCACCCTTTACCCTGTCCCATCCAGGCATCAACCAGACGATGATGTCCAGCCCCAGCACTCACATGGCTGCCTGCCCAGGGGTGGGCAGCGTCAGTTTGGGTCATCTGAGAGGAAACGATATCGACGTGGGAACATTTCAACCAGAGTATCCTGCTGAAAACTCGTCGTTACAGTCTTCATTCTTCTGTTGGAACGGTGACGCTCAGGTGAGATAAGATTGCTTTTAGAAACAATCGGGTTTTCAGTCATTTATTTTGAGGGAAGAAAAAGGGGGAAAGAAAAACAATTCAAAATGTATTCATTAACTAAGGTCTGGCTCAGATTTCAGGATTACTGGTATGAGTATTTCCCGGCTATTTGTCCAGATGGTTATGATTCCTCTTGGAAAACACATTATTAAGCCCCCGGGCAGTTCTCGCCCTGTTTTGATGAGCTTCTCCTCCACCTCAGTATCCAGCAAACACACAGAGCTGTGAAGTGATACAAGTTACTTGGGTTGTGGGAGTAAAAGTCCCATTCATTTTCTGCACAGACACAGTTAAAGGACTGATGGTTGGAATGAAGAAGAAATTCTCTGGATTTAATCATCAGTGTAAAAGATGAGCAGCTGTTAGAAACATCAGTTAAAATTAAGGAGGTAATACAAGTTGAAATCTCAAAGAAGATTTGTGTCTGAAACATTAAAAGTGCTATATGTAAGTTTTCTCTGCTGACGAGCGGGTGGTGATGAGCTTCAGACATGTTGCATTTGCAAGACAGGCCTCTGAGCAGCGCTACTTCTTCAGGGCAGATGGGACGCTACAGCGACTCGCTATCGGAAAGTGACGAGGCGGGCTTGCTGGTTAGCGTGTTAACTTCAGTAGAAGAAAAGAAGTGATAGAAATAGAAGCAAAACAAGCGGGTTGGTTTCCACCTCTGGAGACAACTCTCGGTGAGTAAAGGAATAAAGTTTGATGCTGAACTCGCAACGTTTTCTCTAGAATGGTAAGTAAACAGCTGTTTATGCTAACATTAGCTATGTAGCAATACCAAAAACTTACATATAGCACCTTTAAGTCACCAAACGTCAAATTTTGTTGTGTTTGCTGTTAATGGTGGGGTGAAATCAAGCATTTTAAATCAGTTCATTGTGAGATTCTGCAACATTTCTATTACACACAACATCTTCAGACAGTAAATGAAAGAAAAATGAAGATAATTGATATCTAACCTCCCATGATCTGAAGGTTTTAATTTGTCACTTTTTTGTTTCACAGATTCCCAAAATTCCCCTGAACGGCGTCGTCGACTCGTTCGCCTTCCCGGCCCTTCCTACTGGGAGCATCAACCTTTCCCAAAACACGGGGCCATAGTAACCTCTGTGCTGCACTCTGACTGGACTGATAGATATGCATGAGTGTGAAGTCATCAGTGACTCCGAAAGCACCTCTGAGATTATTCCTACAGACAAAGCAAGAGGTGATTATTGTTTTACCAATGTTGTGTCTCACAGAGAAATATGGACCGTCTCATTTCAAACTAAAAAACCTCTCAGTTTTCTTTTTTTTTTGACTCATCAAATATTTATCAAACAACTTTATTTAATAATTATCTTTTACATGTATTCAGTATGTGGCAAGTAACCGACAGCTGAAGTGTCCTGTCAGCGGAGAGGAAGCAGGAAACAGCAGGGTTTAATACAAGAGGACCTTTCTGTAGAGAACAGAAGAAATCTGGACTACAGCCTTTTCTCTGTCACCTCAGTTTAACTCGTCCTACTGCACATCACAAACAATATCTTATATCTGCTTCTTGTGAATATCCATGTATATCCAGTTTTATATGCTGTATTTTTTTCTTTTTATGAGTGTGGTTCTTTGAGTGAAGTCATAACATCACGTCCGTCAATTCAGAATTTCTTTCATTTGTCCTTCTGAAGAAATGAATCATGTTCCTGGAGTTTGGCTTTTCACAGTATAAATCTAATCAGCTCCACAACAACAGAAATGTCAAACAGAGCCAGTTACTTACATCAGCCCTGTCTCCTCGACATTACAGTCATATATCGCTAAATCGTTTTCCCAATTATTTTGTACATTCTGTGCACCTGTGAAATAAGGCACGATAAAAATAAAGTTTACTTATTTATTTAGTGACTTACAAAGTGCAGCACCGTGACCCCGACTCCTGGCTTCGCATTTTGTGGTTCAGTCGACAACAGCACTTTGGTTAAGGTCTCAAAGTCACTGTGAACTTTTTTGTTTTAAACAGGAAACGCGATCCAGTCGTCCAGGCATTACATTTATTTCAAAATGTACTTGCTTTTATATAAATGTAATTTCTAGGAGGCAGTGGTTGTATTACTGATGTATCTCAACTGACCACGACCCTTTCCCTCCCTCGTGGACTCGCCTCTTCTGTCGAGCCGTGGCGTTTAACTCACAAACGTCCAGGGCTTATGGGAAATGGTGTTCCTTAAAGGCAGCTAAAAAGCATAAATATCGAATGGTATATATATATATATTAGATCATTTTTCAAAAGCGATATGAAGCGAGCCACACGACTTAGTTATTGGTGTGAATGAGGTTTTCTCACTTCTGAACCTGGAAGTCCTGGTTTCGCTCTCTCTCTCTACATATATATATATATATATATATATGTATATATGTATATATTTTAAAAAAGCAGACTTTAAATCAGGCCTCGGACCCTGTAGTATCATTCATTCCTTCTTCATGTTTGTTTTCATTAATGTTTGATCAAAGTAAAAGCAACTTCTTGTTATTTGTTGAGATTGTTTTGATTTTACTCAACACTCATGCAGCTGTGGTAGTGACTTTGTGACCATTTTAGAGTCACAGTTATATTCACATCTGCCAATTATCTGGCAGCTTTAAAGGAACTACAATTTAGTTTTGTATTGAATACACATGTGAGGCTTGAAACGCACATAATACAGTGTTAAAGTACTGTAAAAATCAATTTCACGTCCTTCACTACCCGTCACTGATGTGCCCTTGAGCAAGACACTTAAACCCCAACAGTAACACTTTACTTTTACCACACATTTAGCATGTATTAAAAGTATATAAACATTTAATAAATAGTTTATAACACACTGTAATGTAGTTGTATGCAGATATAAGGACATTTTTGAGGTTTTTGAGGCATTTTTGAGGCAACATATACATTCAGTTTTTTTTAAATAATCGTGCAGATATAAGGACGTTTTAAACATTAATTATTCACGTTTTTATCAACAACTATAACTCATCCAATGAAGCCTTTGTAACGGTTGTTTCTCTATTTTATTGAGTGATGGATAATACAGTATGTCATAGCTGTAAACATGATATATATAATAATAACAATATATATATAAATATTTACAGTTGTGACATGTTGAGTTTTGATGTTCATTCTCGACCTTGAAAAAAATTTCTATTTAAAATTTCTAAATAAATACCTGTAATTAATGAATAGGAAAAATGTGAACATATTTTGTTATTACAGTTGTGTTATATTTTAACATTAACTGTTAAAACACACATTACAGATGATTCACAGTAGGAATATTAATCGTTGACACACTAATAAACACTTAAAAATGTCCTTATATCTGCTTACAACTACATTATAGTGTCTTATAAACCATTTATTCATTGTTAATACACTGCTTACAGATGCTAAATTATATTTAAATGTAACAGTAAATTATTGGTCCTGTAAGCCTGTTAGATTTTGTACAATATGATGGATTCGTGGCACTTCAAGATAATGTTGGGACCAGTAATAACATTATTTCTAATTGTTTCACCTGATGTTATATGGGAGAGACGGCAGCTCCAGCGCTCACTGTGAACAGACATAGATAAGGCAACTGTAAAACCCTACTGTACACTGTCACATTAAATCATGCATCCATCTCAGATGTATCAAAGAGGAGCTTTGTTTGTTTTCTTTGTCTTGTCAAGTCACAAAGTAAAACATGCACATTAATCATTTGTAACTGTAGGAGATGACTGCCATGTTACTCTGCCTCTGTAACTGTAGCTGCTTTGTATTCCTTGTGTACAAAATATAACCAATGGGGACAAGTCTACTTTATTTTTGCTATTAAAGAGTTGTAACCCCCTCAGTCGGTCTGATGCATTATTCCCCATGCCACACGTGAAGCGTTGCCCCTGGAGGGGTTCGTGTGAGGACAGTGTGTGCTTGTTTTCAAAGTGGGTCATCTGCCGACCTCAGACGTGAAAAGGTATCAGGTTAAACCCATTAAGGGCCGGCTCCAGTGCCAACTTGCATTGTTATCTGCGGGCGTGATGGCACATTTAATGTTTTTGTTCCAGCCTTCCTGCTCCCACATCATCTATCCACTGAGATATGTGTTCCCACAAGCCGTTATGTAACCGCCACCAGCCTCCCCTCCTCCGTCTGCCCTTACAAAGCATATTCCCCTCGGCCTCTTCAGTCTCTCCTCTGAGCTGGACTCTGTCTTTAATTGGACATAAAATCTTTACAAAAAAAAAAAAAAAAAAAGAGAAGGCTTTTAAAGTTCAAACAAGAGTCTACAGTCATGCTAGCAGCTCTGTGAGGCTGCGTTGACATCACATCATATCTGTTTAAACAATGCTTTACGAGCAACTGTTCGTATCCGGTTCCACTTGGTAATAAACGCCTACAAATATGTAAAACAAACAACAAAAGTATTTCTCATGTGTGTCTACATGTGTGTGTGTTAGCACTCGGGCTAACCTCATTGGAACAGGTGTTTTTCCTGTTGTTCCTGCTCTGCACGGGTCCAGGGTCCCAGGGGGTCAGGGGGCCTTTAATGTCATATTAACATTAATTTAATATTAATATAAACGTTAACATGAATATCCATTTTGAGTCCAACAGTGTAATAGGAGGACAGTGAGTGGAATACCCTCCAGAGATCATAGCCTACAGCTGTTTTCACTGGCTGACCTCTTCTTTGTGGAGTGCAGCTTTAAGAAGAGCTACTTTTGTAAAACAGGTAGTTTTTTAGTTTCTACCTTTTGAGTCATTACAAAGTTAATGTAAAAGTTTAATATTTTGACGGGAAAAGTTATGAGAAATGAGGATTATGATAGAATGGAAGTGTCTTCGTGGTGGTTTGTATTGTTGTGTTTTACTGTGCAGTCGTTCTGTGTCTCCTCCTGCTCTTTTTGACTCATTTTAATAACATTTTGTGTCTCTTTGTGGTTGTTTTTGAATCTCTGAAGGACATGTTGCGTCATTTGTGATCGTTCCCTGGCTTTGTGGTCATTTTGCATATGCGGTTGTTTTTTTGTGTCTCTGTGATTATTTTGCATCTCTTTATGATTGTTTTGTGGCTTCTTTCTTGCATTTTGTGATTATTTTGCATCGCTTCATGGTGGTTTTGCATCTCCTTGTGATCATTTTGTGTCTCTTTTTGGTCATTTTGCATGTGTGGCCATCTGACTCATTGTGCTCCTGAGCCTACGTCTGGTAAATCTGTTCAGTTATACATCCATGCTGCTCATCATTACTTTTGTGACATTGTTATGAAAGTACTTTGCTTATACTGAACATAATGACTATTGATTACTTTCCAAATGGAAGCTGATTAATAATAGAGGGATTTTCCTTCCTCCTATTCTACTCTTGTCGGCTGCAACCATTGAATATATCCTTCCTTCTGGAAATAGGGGTTAATGCATCCTGTTTGAGTCCTCGGATAACCACTTGTGTTGTGCTTAGAGGGTTTCTCCCTCAATAAAATCATCTTCTTTAAGTGAGCAATCACCTACTGCAATGCTAAACCATTATTTTGCTTTTAGAAAATGTTCTTAAGACCTGTATTTTAGCTGTTTTCTTAAACAGAGCATTTAAGTCCAGCTCTGAAATCCTATCTGTCCCCGAAGAAAAGGCTGACTGCTCTGTCTGAATGAGGGATTAAACACAAGGAAAAATAAAGTAACCCAATATCACAATCAACCGGACCCAATACGACGTTCTCACGCGAGGAATCTGATGCTGCATTAAGAGTGAAAAAGAAAGCGGGGAAGACGGCTTGTGAGAAAAGGAGAGGTGGAGGGAGGGAGAGAGGAAGCGGCTCTAAAAACAAATGACTGCTCTGGGAGTTGGTTCATAAAAGCTACAGACAGAAAAGTTCAGCTTCAGCCAGAAACAGAGATCGGACACGACAGGAGGTGGACCAGGGGGAGAGAAATGGAAGTGACATTAATGAACCTTTCTATGAACTTCCTGTAATTAAATAAATATTCCCCAGAAGTCGTCTGTGTGTGAGATGAATAGACTAGATTTACATTTTAAATTTAAAACAGATTTTTGTAGCAGAGCTTTGTTTTTTCTTGTTTCCTCTTCCATTAATCATCTCGTGACCCCTCTGATTGATCTTGAGACCCTTTGGAGGGGCCTGACCCCTATGTTGAAAACCACTGGACTAAACTATCTAACTGTTTATTAAGAAGTTAAAACAAGCTCACAGGAGAGATTTTACTGAAGAGCTGCGGATATTTTTATGTAAATTTTACTCATAATCCTTCTGTACTTCAACTTCAGTAGGATTCTCAATGCAGGACTTTTACTTGTAATGGAGTATTTCTACTTTGTTTTACTTAAGTAAAGGTTTTGAGTACTTCTTCCACCACTTAGCATGGCATTTCTTGGCCTGTTACTGACACAGAAAACAGTCTGACCCGTCTGCAGTTCAACACCGGGATGTCACTTTGGCTCCATCATGTGGCAATGAACAGTCCCACAGGTAATACTGCAGATGTGTAAAACTTTTTGTTTTGTTGTTGTTGTTTTGTAGAAGTTGAATTACAGTGTTAAAATGTTCTCAGGTAAAAGAACAAAGGGAGTCAGTGATAATGTCTCTTAGGGAACGTGTTACATTTTAAGAGGGGAGGGGTAAAACATGTTATATGGTGATAATAATAATAATAAAATATGATAAAACTATTAAATTAAAGAGCATCTTTAGGCTGCCAGGTGTATCAGTTCAT